ATAATATGATGGAATATGGGAGATTATTATATTTAAAATAACACAAAAGCACAATAACTTTTAAAACATAAATGAATTTATTATTTAAAAAAACGACTTGGAAGGACCTCTTTGAATAACTATATTTTATACGTGTGAAAATTATAATATCAGAGAAACAATACCAAAGGAATACATGGATTTTATTTTGTTAACATGCATAGATCCGATAAAAATCGAGCGGTATCTTTTTCCTTTGCTCTTGCAACAAATATTGGTATTCATATAACAAATCGGCTGCAAACGTAAAAAATAATAATAATCATAAATAAATTTAATATTACTTTTATTATATTAAATCTGTGGTATTATTTAACCCTTTTATTCTCTTTCCTGCAATTTTCTTGAGATTTATTTTTTTTCCTCAATACGGTCTAATGATACATTATATTTCATCAAAGCGTATACGCTACTGAGGACTTCTACGCATAGCTTACTGCGCATGCACTGGAACCAGTGTTGGGCACAGTGATGGGATATTGGACGGGTTTTTTCGCGCATGCGCAGCAATTTTAGTCTCAGTAAAATACAAGTTTCAATAAAGTGAGGTACCTTAATCACCCCTCATTATTTTTCAAAATTTTTATAATTTGGTTGTGAAATATGAATGTATAGGTTGGATAATATTAGATTATATACATATTTTCATATTTGAGAAGCAGTTGGAAGGGAAAGGTACTTAAATAATTGTAAGAAAATATGTAATAAAGCCATCTAGTGGCGCCGCTAAATACATACGCTGCGTACGTTCCTGCATTTCTCGCGCATGCGCGCAAAAACCCGTCCAATATCTCATCACTGGTTGGGCAATCCCAGTGCATGCGCAGTAAGCTATCCCTAGAAGTCCTCAGTAGCGTATACACTTTGATGTAATATAAGGTATCATTAGGCCCTAGTGAGGAAAAAAAATAAATCTGAAGAAAATTGCAGGAAAGAGAATAAAAGGGTTAAATAATACAACAGATTATATATAATAAAAGTAATATTAAATTTATTTATGATTATTATTATTTTTTACGTTTGCAGCCGATTTGCTATATGAATACCAATATTTGTTGCAAGAGCAAAGGAAAAAGATACCGCTCGATTTTTATCAGATCTATGCAGGTTAACAAAATAAAATCCATGTATTTCTTTGTTATTGTTTCTCTGAAATTATAATTTTCACGTGTATAAAATATACTTATTCAAAGAGGTCCTTCCAAGTCGTTTTTCTTAAATAATAAATTCATTTAGTGTTTTAAAAGTTATTGTGCTTTTGTGTTATTTTAAATATAATAATCTCCCATATTCCATCATATTATTCCCATTATATTATATTATATAATTCACAATATATGTATATAGTTGTATAGTTTTATACAGTCATATATATAACTAACGTAACCCAGCCTAATGTAATCTAACCCAACCTATACATTCATAGTTTACAGTGCAATTATAAGAATTTTTGAAAAATTATGTAGGATCATTAAGGTGCCCTCATCAGTCACCACTGCGTGTACCGGCTAGGTACGGCAATGGCAGCAAGCTGTGACGTCAGCTGACGCATGCGCATAAAGCTCTCGCGTGAGATAAAATCTCACGACTGCCCAATATTGGGACAATGTTCCATTACGAACAGGCAATCCTAACCTTTAAAAACTGCTTCATTGAGAGTTTATAACGTATTATTTTTAACAATGTTATGCAGACCAATTTGTAATATCATACAAAGAAATATATTTACAAATAGGAAAATACATTATGAATTACAAGATACATTAATTGCCAATTTTAAACGCTATAATTTATGTACAAACTACATGCATTCACAAAATGTGAATCTTATTATACCTAGAAGATTTAAAAGCAAAGGAAAATTTGCAAGACATGTAAGATAATTTAATACTTCGTATAAAGTATATATGAATGACTTATACTTGTGTTTATCAAATTTATATGTTTATTAGAATAAACGTGATGAAGAGGAACAAGAAGAGGATGATGAAGAACTGTCATTAGAAGATGATCCTTTATATACACCAAAGTCTAAAATAATTGAAACTAATATACCCTCTCTTCGATTGGATGCTGTTACAAAAGCAGGATTGGGAATTTCACGCGCGTACGTTATCATTTTTGAACATGTTTGAATAATCATGTATTTCATATATAAAGGGATAAAAACCATAGTGCCATAAATCACATAATTCTTGTTTTATGAATTAAAGGTTTTGCTACTTTTTACACTATGATCTTTACCCCTTCATATGTTAATAAACTATGATAAAAAAAAAAACTTAATACTGCAAATAATTAACATTCTAATTTTTATTCTTTACTTTCAGAAAATTTGATCAAGAATTTTATAAAAGTAACATTCGTATTAATGGAAGAAAATGTTTAAAAAAGAGTTATATGGTATAAATATTTATATAATAAAGTAAATACTTATGTGATGAAATGGAAAATATAATATTTTTTAAATGTATAGGTTAAAATTGGAGACGAAATTGATCATATTCAGAAGGAGAGTCCAGATAATGCAAAATTGATAGTAGTAAATCGTTGCAAAATAATATCAGTTTCTGTAGAATCAGATACACTCAGAGCAAAATTGATTCAAGACAAATCTTTATTAATTGAAAATTATGATGATCCTTGGACTGGTGGTTGATAAGATTGTTAATGTTTAGTAAGTATAAAATATTTTTTTGTACACATTTAATGCTAACTTTGTAAAAATTGTAGACAATAATGGCAATAATTCGATTATTACTTACATAAAAACTATATCAATACTTCATACTTCATTGAACCTTTGTATTTACTAATGTATTTTGTATAATTTTTTTGCACTGAAAGATATTTTTTAATTAAAAATTATATTAAGAAAAAGGTCTTCAGTGAATATTAAGCATACTTACATATGGTACACAGAGTATTCCATCCAGAAACAAACTATTTAAATCTTCTAATATTTTTTCAACGTTAAAACCACCATTTTTACTTTTCTAGAAAGGAATTAATATTAATAATAAGTTGGCATAAATTTAATGAAACTATGAAATAAGTAGACTACTCACTTCTAAAACATTTTTCTTATCATCATCATTTAAAAAGGGCAAAAGGGCAATTGCAAAATGTGGTTGCTGACATTGAAAGCAATATTTTATAATGTCACTGAAATTCAACATGTGCACAACAGGACATGAATACAAAAGTTGTAGAGTTTCGATGCAGTTATTAATTTGTTCAGAAGTTGGACATATATCCATTTTTTTAAAAGGTTCTAAAATCACAGCTTGCCATCCCAATAGATATCCATTCGAATTTACAATGGCACTTATATTCCGTACTTGCAACAAGATTTTCTTTAATTCATTTATCTAAAAATATAGCCGATTAAACATAACATAATTATTACATTTATATGTTCAAAAACACGATTTAGTTACCATTGATAATTTAGCTAACTGAGTCAAATTTTTATCCCATAACGGGTATTCATATATTTCAAAATCTATACACAGTTGTAAAATAATAACAAATGCTTGTGGTGAATAATTTTGTGTTCTCCATAAAATTTGTACAAGTTCACGTTTGGAACACGTTTCAAATTCATTTACAGTGTAACTTATCCCCAATAATTGCAACCTACTTACGTATATCAACGATTTCATATAATTCCTAAAATACAATTATTTTCAAACATATTTACTGTAATTAAAACACGTTAATGAATTAATACGAGAAAAATTCAATAGTTACCTAATTGTTTGATGATCGCGTTTAGTTAACTCTTCTAACTTAACAGGATCAAGAATTGTCTGTAATACATGAAGAGCTCTGTAACGAGCTTCAGAGCTATAATCCTCATTTTTGTCACCGAAACATATATTTATAAGAAAGTTAGCTGACAATTCGATGTCCCCATATTCAAGAATATAACATGCTCTAAAATTATATGAGATGTTTTAAAATATGTTATAAAATATATTGTATATAAAAACGCGTAAACTGTATTATTGTACCTTAATAAATTATCATCACAGTTAGAATTTGATTCAGGATTTGCCAACATAGAAAATGTATCTGTTACGCTCTGATTAAATTTCATATATTTAACATCTGGTTGTAACCATTCTTGTAGCAATTCGATCCGTAGCTTTATTATGTTAATTGAAAACAGTTCACAGATATGATTAACTGCAGAATTTATATCAGGTCTGTGATCAACAACACATCGATATCTTTGCGGTATACTTTCATCTGAGTATAATTCACGCACCAGTTTCGACGGATTACCAATTAATGCTAAATAATTTTTTTTCCCTAAACCATGAGTGTGTAAAATGTGTTCTGATGTAAAGCGCAAATATTTGAATTTTATTTTCTAAAATAAATCAATTTTAAATGTTATGTGCTTACTTTCTCAGAGTTATATAAAATTAAATTAAACTATGATACCTCAAGCATTCCCTCTTCGAAAATTGTAGAGTTTTGTGCTGATAACTGAGCATATTTGTAACATTCGTTAACTGCTGCTACTTGGTCAGCACCTAGTAAAGATGAACAATAATTCAGTTAAGAGCCCTACAATGGTTTTTTGTAAGATTTATGTCTTTCACATAAAGTACCTGGTGGTGTATGATTCACAACATAATATAGTGCCACTGTACCATAGTATAACACATCTGGACCAGTCATTCGTTCTATACATTTTTTTATGTCATTTAATAAACTACTGTTTTTTGAACAAAGAGTCCATTTATCTGTTTCGCGTTTATTTCTCCAGGCACGCGTTACTTCGCCTTTAATAGCTAATGTACACACAATATGAGATTGCAATTTAAGAATAGGGGCTATGTCCAGCCATTTCTCATAAGTTTTTAAATTCAATTCCGGAGCTAAAAATAATTTAGTATTGAAAAATTTGTATACATATTCTTGGAATTCACTAGACATAAAAAAATAAAAAGCTTTTACTTATAATTTGCCATAATTCAACTTTAGGTAAAAAAGGTAATCTCCATTTCGCTATAGGGGGTAAAGATGAATACCCTGGATTAAGATGCATCCACGCTTCATGTTCATATTGCGTCGGTTGACTAAAAAGTTTAAATACAATAACATAATGCAAAGAACAAATAATAAAAATAATATATCGTTGCCAACATTAAATGAAGTCACATTAATTTACCCAGTACGTGTATAATTTTGTAAGAAAAATATATAATTTCTATGTTCTACACTTTTTGATTTTGTAAGATCCATAAGAATTATGAGTACTTCATAGTAGTAAAAATTGATCTGAAATGATAACGTGTAATTTTAAAAATATTATATTTATAATAGCAGTAGAATTCCTACTAACTTGTGAGAAAATAGTTTTTAGACACTTCTTCAAAGCAATTTTATCTTCAATAATAGCAACAATAGCATTGCATTTTTTTCTCAGTTCATTCACTTCATCTTCATTAATGTGTAATTCTAAAAATATAATTAACGAATATTAAAAGCGACTTATTATTTAATTCACATTAACATCTTAATATTTTTATCACTCTTTTACCTTCCTTTCCGCTTAAATTGCGTGTAGTCAGTTTTGGATTCCATGTTTTTAGTACTGTTTGTAAGTAGAGTAACAAACAGTCTTGAATATCGAATCCGAAATCAGTGCAGAAATGTTGTAACAAAAAGGTAATACTATCATCATCATCATTGTAATCCATAATATGTTGTAATATTTCTCTTTTGGTTGTAGCATCACTTCTTAATATCTCTACAAGTACATAAATACATATTTTAGATATATGACACGGTAAAACATTTACTTAAGTAACATAATGATTTTTACCTTTATACGAGATGGAGTACTTTGATAATTTTTGTGCCCAACAGTGCATTATTTTATTGGTTTTAAATATTTGCATAGAAGATTCATTCTTCGTTAAACGAAAATATTCATATCCAAGCATTGATATCCTTAAATGTTGAGTACAGTCTGGTTGAAATCTAAAACAATATATTTCCGTAGTATATTCAGTTTTCTGATTTATAAAAATTAAGTTACTTACGATTTATGAGTGTCAAAAATCCATTTCGATGCATTTGATTCAGACAGCATGAATAAACAAGACAGACCCAAATGAAGGTCAAACAATCGTGTATATATTATTTTTTTTAACAATATTGTTAAAAGATGAAAATATACTTTTGTAATTTCTGATAACAATGTAGAATTTATGTTTGGTGTAACACAAAAACTGAGATACAATGTCTTTATAATTTGTAGCAAACGATAATCATTATGCTCAATTTTTAATTTTTTTATGCTAACAAGTAATTCCTCTAACGGATTTTCTGCAATTGACTATACAAAAATATATTATTGTAGGTAATTTGTATGATGCATTATAGAAATGTATATAAATTACCTGATCCTTAGTTATATAAAACCTTTGTACAGAAATGATATTTCTAAACAGTGGCAATAACGATTTATCTGTAGTAATCGCTAAATCTTTATATATTGTATATAATTTCCAACTCGATTTTGATATTTCATTTTGTCTTGTATCTACTGAACTTGAATTGTACATGGCACTTTCAGTAAAACACTGTTGATACAAATTTATCCAGTTGTATAAGAATAACATTGTCTGCAAATCATCTAAAACATTATTTTTAAACAATTAATGTTCTGCATATAATAAATATTACAGTTTAATCTTTTAATCTTTTGTTTTACAATAATATTTACATACCATCTACACAAACACACAATGTAGAAGAACTTAAATTTCGAATTACAATTGAATTATCTAGATCCATTTTAGCATATTGTAATAGCGTTAAACATATCTTGTATATGTATTGACATTCATCTGTCGTTAAATGGAATGGTTTCTCTTCGTATCTAAATTAGAATGAACACTTCAAAATAAAACATTATATTGCACTAATTAAATTTTGATTTTATATAAATAAAAAGTTGCTCACCTATAAAAATAATTAAATAAATTTATATCTTTTGTCCATTCTAACAATAAAGATATAGCATTAATTTTTTGTAATTTTAGTAATGTTGCAACCTTAACAACATTTTTGTATGTAAGCATATATGAGTCAGTATTTTTTTCTATGTCCACTAAAATATTGTTATACAAAATTTAGAGATGTACATAAGTTTCTGTTAAAATATATATGATGAAAAATTATTTTATACCTTCACATGACTTTTTAATATATTTGTCTAATATATCTTTTTTATTTGTTTGATACTCATGAAGTGTAATATCGATTTGAAACTCTTTCTTTAAAAAATATACTGATTTTACTTCCTCTATATTATTAATAAGATTACTATAATAATATAAATGAGTTTTACATGTTTTTGAGAGTTTTTCTACTTGTAACTTCACCCAACCGAACATTTCGATATAATATTTGAGAGATTCAGGTAATATCTAAATAATAAATACAAATTTAATGTATAAATATATATATAAAAATACAAACTTTTCAACAAATTCAAGTATAATAATTACCTTCAATGCCAAACTAGATATCACATAATTAACAATCTGTATGCAACAATATAACAGAACATCTGTTTCTAAGAAGTTTAATATTTCCATTACTTTGGTAAAATTTCTACAAAACATTTACTATTAAATGATTTCAATCAGAATTATTTATACGTTCACTTAAATTATCTTACCCCTTAGATAAATAATAATTCACACAACATGAAAAAGTTTTCCTCTTTAATAATGAATCGTTTTTTGTTATGCATTCAATATCAGCAATCATATCATCGTGATTTTCTTTTATTATACGATGTATTAATTTCTGGAAAAGTTTATAAAAATATATATTGACAAACATCATAAACATTAGTAAACTATGTAATAAAATATATACTGTTTTATTTAATCATTAGTATAATTTACTTACATCATTTATACCAGTGTGTTCATAGCCATATTTCTTTAATATAAGTTTTATTGGAACATAATTGCATTCTGTTCTAATTTGAAATGCTAAAGTATGGTCAAGAGTACTACTTGTTTCTGCTAAATTTGTAATAGATGAACTCCATGGAACAGAAGCTGCTTTTAAAACTTCTAATGTTTGTTGCAGTTTAGTCTACAGAAATTGAAAATTTATTTAGTATTCTTAAATTTGTAAATAAAATTTGAATGATTTACACACTTATACCTCTATATTTTGTATAAAATCTATGATAAGGATAATTCTTTTTTCCCATAAAGATCCTTCACCAAACCAGTAAGTCCTAGAATTTCTTATAATTTTCTGTAATTAAATTTATTTATAACTTTCATTGTATAATGTTTAGCAAGTTTATTCGTTTATTCAAATTAATCATACCTGTATATACATTGTAAAAACATAATCATTTTGCAACATGTTATTTAACATGTACTGTTTTAAAAATGTATTTATAAATTCTGGAAGAATATCTATATGAACTTTATTCAGTAACATACAAGATACTTCCATAGGATCTTCATTATATGAGTTAAGAGATATTGTTAATCTGAAATTTTAATATTAAATATAATTTTAGGCCAGATACTCTATTCGTTTATTGAAAAAGAATTAAAAGTTGTTACCTGTAATTAAGTTTTAGCTTTTTAATATCAGACATAGCTTGTATTAAAAGAATAAGTTGTTTCAAATTGGAATCATTGTTTAGGTATTCTTGGTGGGAATATAAAGACTGATGATTTTCTTCAAATTTGAGCAATTTTATAAATCTTTCTGCAAAATCAATTCCAATGTTAGGCCATTCGGAATAATAAGTTTTTTCAAATGATTTAACTTTTCTACATCCCCAACAAATAATTTCAGATATTGCACTAGGAATACAAGACAATAATGTGGGTACAAAATGTGATAACCATGGCCAAAGGACAGATGGAGATGTATTCTCGGGAATAATTGCAAATATATCTCTTACAGTTTCTGCAGATATATGTTTAATTATGTCTGGGAGATGCCGAACCCAAATTAAAGTTGCTATTTCCATTTCTCCCTGTACACACATAAATGGTATTAGTTTCATAGAAAATGTGCTAATACTAAATCCATATTAAATTTCCTGTTTTACCAAATTTATATAATATTTGTGTAGTTCTACAAAATCTGCATGTTGAAATTTTATCCATTCTTTCATAATATCATCATCATAATATTGGTGATCTTTTTGATACCCCCAAATCATATGGAACGTCTCTAATTTATGCAACATATTATTAATCAAATATAGAAGCTTTAGGTGTTCATCTGTCTTCATTTTCTATAATTTATATGATTATGTATAATATGAGATGTACAAAGAATATGACAAGTACACTCAGTTCACAATTACTTACTGCAGTATTTTTTGTAACTCTTGAGCGTGCATATGTATGAATTTTTCTCATTTGTTTATAATCAGGTATAAGTGCTTTACTACAACATTCTACTATGTATTGCACATTTTCTATTTTGTCAAGCACATTAAGCAGCATATCCAATTGAACAGAACCACAATCTTTTTTTGCCTGAGATTCAAGTTGCAATAAAAGTAATAATGCTTTCCTACAATAAATAGGTTCTGTAGATAAATTAAACTTTTGTGCAAAAGCTTCAGCAGCATCAAACTGTTCCTTTCTTAGCAAACGTTGTAACTGACATTCAGGAATACTTTCTGACACAGTCTTTACCCTGACTGTATCAATATATTTGGCATCAATTTCCAAATCATTAACTCCTTCCAAATACAAAATTGTTTCATCACAAGGATCCATAATTTCAACAAGATATGTTGTAGCTGGCACAGTTATTCGAAATTTTTCATCAAATTCTAAGTAAAACAATGTAATTATATAATAGTGTAAATTAAATGTATTAAAAAAATAATTCGTGATCATGTTATATACCTGGAAATGAAAAAACATGCAAAGTATGCATATTGCAATTATCAGATGCTGCTAAAACAAGAATTTGGGATGAACTGTTATCATTGTTTTCAATTACTGCAAAATCTAATACAGGCACAGTATTCATATTTACACCAAGTAAAGTTTGAGGGCATACCATCTTTAATATGTAATCTTTACGTAAACATAACATAGCCCTAAGATCATTAAAATTAATAATTTATCAGTAAAGTCTGAGTATATCAACTGATATGTTTAAACTAATATAAATACTCACATATGATTTTTAAAAAACTTTGCTTTAATATAATTGCAACATGTGGACTGTTCAGAGGGCCACATAAATAACTTATTTAAACATACCATAGCTATTGATATATCATTATTTATTGCACCTACAGCAGCATATATTACCTGTAGAATTGATGCTAAAATTATTAATTCTTATAAAAAAAGTAGCAATTCTATCAAACATAAGTTGTACACACCTGATCATTATAAAAACCTTTAAATAGCTGTTCACACTGAATTTCCTTAATAAGATTTTCCATTTTAATATTAACATTGGTGTTATTTAATATAAGTGATTGAACAAGTTTACTATTAAATTGTGATACTCTGGAATATAAGTATTAATTCTGATTAAATATTTTCATTTATTTATATAATTTAATATAGTTACCTATAAATGGCCCCATTTTTAGCGACAAGATATATATTGATAAATTCATCATTTTCATTTTGTAAATATATAGTTATTATTTTATATCCGTCTTTACTGATGTTTCTATGTATAAAAATAAATATATTTTTATAACTATGGGATTATTGTTATAACATTGTAATGTAAGGTCATACACTTACTTTGTGAAAATAATTTGTCCTTTATTTAAATCAAGACAATATAAGGCTCCATTTGATAATACAATAAATAAAAATAAACCATTGTTAGAAATACAATAACATGTTATTGCTGACTCAAAACTAATGTTTAGTAATATTTCTGTGCAGGTCTCATCTTTAAATATAGTAATTGATTCATCAATTATTATGCACACCCTTGAATATTGTACAGATGCAAGAATGCTTGGCTCCTTTGAAACCTTGTAAAAAAAGTACAAATATCTTTTATAAAATATTCATGATATTTTCATTTACTTGTCAATCATCACAAAATTTATAAATTAATAAATGTTCATAAGATGAATGAAAATGTACAAATTGTATTCAAGATAATTTAAAAAAGAAACGACCGTTAAAACATTTATGGTGTAGAAACTAATTTGGTTACAATAAAGCTAATTTAAATACCTCGCCACTGCATTGTATTGTGGCAACTGTAGAAGTTTCATATAAAAAGCCATTATTTTCTGTTACTGTTCTTTTTCCGAAATTTATAGTTTCTTCTTCTTTATCAAATCCTGTAAACACTTTGTTCCATAACGCCATTTTACCCGCGAAACATTTCCGAAATGATCTGGTACCTGCGCACAGCAGCTTAAAGCTTACTTCAGCTCCTACGCAAAGATTTTGATGTTTAGCAAAAACAAACATAACCTCGACAGAAAGTTGAAATTTGAAACGTTTACTTTCAGCTATTGAAATGTCAAAGTCCTTTCATATATAATTTATTGTGTAACTTCAAACATATATTTCAATTAAGCTAGCACACAATTAAAAGATTCATATTTGAACAGTTTTGTTTATTTACATTGTTGTGTCATTTTTCATAAATGTGACTATGAATTTTGATTTTAGAATTTACTTTGTCTAAAAGCTAATCATTGATAAAGTACACGACATACGAAGGGTATTTTTAAATAAAACGTTTAGCTGTATACCCATTTATGATGGATATTCTCAAGGCAGAAATAATGAAAAAACGAAAACAATTAGAAGAAAGTAATGTTTTGGTAATGTGTGAAATTAAGTTATAATAGTTTTGTAAGTTAATATTATTTTAGTTTCATAATGTGTCAAACTATATGAATATTACAGAAAAACAACAAAAAATATTTTAGAAGAGGTGAGCTAATATCAAAAGATCAAGAAGTAAAAGAGGTACAAAATAGTAACGATGAAGATGATAAAGTTAATATTAGGCAACAGCAAGAAGAATGTGAAACAGATGATAGTTCTGAACATTCAACATTACCTAGACATGAAGTGATTAAAAGATTACGTGAAAGAAATGAACCAATATTATTATTTGGAGAATCAGAAATAGAAGCATTTAAAAGGTTAAGAAAATGTGAGATTCTTGAACCTGAAGTAAATAAGGTATTTACTTATACATATAATATTTTATAGTATGAAATTGTGCATAGAAACAAAGGGATTAGTAAGAGATTATTATACAAACTGATAGCTTGTAAATATTAATGTATATTATTTTATACTATAGGGTTTTAGGAATGATTTTCAAGAAGCTATGGAACAAGTGGATCAGGCATATCTAAATGAAATATTAGCTTCATCAAAACCACAAGATCGTGATGGAAAAGGAGATGTCCATGTACCTGATGAAGGAGTGACCTATGAAGATCTGCAGAAAATGTCTGTCAAATTAAACAAGGGTGACAGGGATTTTGATTTACATGTGATTACACAGTTTATACAATTTTTGGTGCAAATGTGGGGTATTCAATTAAATAGTAGGAGCACTGCTGAAAAAATGAGCACTAGAGGAAAGATGGCTAGTGCTACTTATGCTCAAACAAGAGAATACTTAAAACCTCTCCTTAGAAAATTAAAAAACAAATCTTTGCCTGAAGATATCACTGACAGTTTAACTGATATTGTAAAACATTTACTTGAACGCAATTATATTTTGGTAAATACCAGTAAATGAAATAATTTTAATACAATACATTGGGAATATTTATTTTAGAATAAAAAAGTATAATTTATTGCAGGCAAGTGATGCATACTTGCAGATGGCTATTGGAAATTCTCCATGGCCTATTGGTGTTACCATGGTTGGTATTCATGCACGTACTGGAAGAGAAAAGATCTTCTCTAAAAATGTGGCACATGTAATGAATGACGAAACTCAAAGGAAATACATTCAAGCTTTAAAAAGATTGATGACTAAATGTCAAGAATATTATCCTACAGATCCTTCTCGATGTGTAGAATATTCAAAAATATAATATTGTTAAGTGAAATAAGTAGATAAGTATGTATTATAGAATAAAAAATATTAAATATATTTGACATTAAAGACTAGTATTTATTTTCTCCTCTTGCTGGTGTTACATGATATGTACAAAGGAACTAAATATATGTTCAGATCAATTTGTTATAATAAAAAAAATATTTGAGAATTAAATTATATTTTCTATTTGACTGCTATAGAACTATTTCTTTATACTGTTTATATTTTCCAGCACAAATAAATTTTTAAAATAAACATAGTGTAAAATACTAAAATATTTAAAAAAATATACATATATTTTCCCCTTAAATTATAAATATTATATATTTATTCCCTCTCCTTAATATATTTTTTTATTAACCTTCACTTTATTTTGGAGGTCAATTCATTGGCTTTCTTTACTGCAGCTTCAATTGCATTCATCATTGATGCTCTACAAATATAATTAGTAATATTACATAGTGTATTAACAGACATTACACTTTGACGCCTTACCTTACTTGACCACATTCCAGAGCATGAATTCCTGTAATAGTTGTACCTCCTGGAGAACATACTTCATCTTTTAACTGACCAGGATGTCTACCTGTTTCCAGAACCATTTTACCAGCTCCTACTAATACTTGAGCTGCAAATTTTGTTGCCATAGGTCTTGGAACACCCATTTTTACAGCACCATCTGCCAATGCTTCTATAATAAGATATGCCTAAAAATTTGATTCAATATCATACTGCTATTCAAAATATTTGGAAGATACAAAAAACAAATAAATAATAATTAAACTATACATTTTACTTACATAGGCAGGACCTGAACCTGAAAGTGCACTTATGGCATTTATAAGAGATTCAGGAACACTTTCACTTACTCCAATATATGAAAATAATGCTCCTACTGTACTTTCATCTTGTTCAGTTGTATTCATAGAACAATATACTGGAAATAATAAGAATATTATAAAAATATAGTTCATACTGTTTACTCAAAGAAATGTTTTACCTGTTATTCCTTCTGCAACCATCATTGGAGTATTAGGCATACATCTAATAATACGAGGATGTGTTACAACTAATTTCAATTTCTGAAAATATTGCAATAATTTTACAATAATTCTTTCTTCATGTTTGTGTGATGTGTTTATGTAATAATAATTCTTACATTCATTAATGTTTCTAATGTAACTCCTACAAGTACTGAAATAAAAAGCTTTTCTGCAGTTTTCTTTTTTATTGTTGCTTGTATACCCTGAAGTGCATCATTAAGCATATGTGGTTTCATAGCTAAAAATATGATTTCACAATTATCTACTACTTCTCCATTTCTTAATGTGGCATGAGCACCTAAATCTATCCAAAAACCTAAAGTTCTGTCTGTACGAGCAGAAACCCAAACATTGTGTGGATTTAAAATGCCTGTAACAAAAAGTTTATTGTATTAAAAATAATTCCAGTTAATTATTAGCATTATAGTTGCTATACTAAAACACAAATATATTACCTTTATGAATTAAACCAGCACCAATGGCACTTGCCATATTCCCACCTCCAATAAAACCAACTTTGCTCGACATTAAATCAATATTTTCCATTTTTCTTGAAAATTTAATCAATGGGCTATATATATATTTGTAATAATTATATTGGTGTGTCAATAATGTGCATCAATTGTATGTTGCCTAAATTGTGTAACACAATTTATGGTATTTATTTCCGTAATTTTGAATAATGAAAATAAGTTAAACAGATTAATGTCAATCTGTCAATTATGAATATTTCACAAGTTAGTGAATTCTGTTTTCTGTAATACTTTTCTTATTTTGTAACAAAATGAATTTCAACCTTTCATTCACGCTTACACATTTTGTGATAATCCTCTTAGACATGTGGCTGGAAACCTTGAAAATAGATGGAGACAGAATATAAAAAGGCATAAACTATAAGAAAAGCATAGAAATGAACAACAAAAAATTGCCTAAAGCAGATGTTATCTGTTATCAACAAACAACTTACATAATTATAAATATTATATGGAAAATTTAGTTATAACTACAAACACGTTTTCGATATATATACATATTTATAATAAAACGAATATTTAATTTAATTGTATGTAAAACACTGTTATATACCATGTTTTATGTAAACAATGCGAGAGTGTTATATATTTTTAATGAATGATTATAGCATTTATATATATGAAAATACGTATATACACTTACATCGGGGAAATAAATAAATATGTTTTACACTACTCTTTATTTCATTTATAATAAAACTTCATGAAATTATATTTATCACATTCATCGATTCAATTTTATAGTAGGCACAGTTGACGTATTTGACATATCAGTCAATTTAGCAAGAGAATAGAATTTTTCAACACCGATTTTTGTTCATTCTGCGCATGTTGTCTTAATAGCCGTTCGCGGTTCTTAACACCTAGCAAGTATACATAGCAATTTTTTTATTTTGTATGATCTACATCTATCACCTTTTCCCTCGATAAAAATATTTTGTCCACCATGTATATTACAGATGATATGAAAAGTGAGCAACACAAGTGGTTGAGAGGTCTCTGAGTTCAATTGAGTTGCGCGAAATGATTCTATTCTCTCGTCAAATCGGCTATACATAGTCGATACATTTGACGTATAATTACTAATGACGATTAATTGGTTCTTATTATTGTATTTATTTTTAAATACAAAAATGTACAATACAATATGATATAAGAAAACAATGGCCTTAATTTATGTCACTTAGGAACCTGGTATAAAAGAAATTTATTATAATGGGTAATTGTATACGGAGTATATTGAAAAGGTTACAAAGGAAAAGGTGTACTGAAAAGTAATGTATTAATTTATTATAAAAATACGTTTAAGAATAAACTAAAAAATTAACAAATAATTTATTTATAGGACTATTATCTTACTCATTGTGGGTCTTGATAATGCGGGAAAAACTTCTGTTTTAAATTGCATCAGTGGTGGTGTGTATTGTAGTATAATTTTTATTTTACATTAAGAATTACAATTGACTTAATAAATATTATAATATATATTTTTTTAGATTCAGATAAGTCTGTACTACCAACAATGGGATTCCGTACTGTGTCTTTAAAATATAAATCATATACTGTGAAAATTTATGATATTGGTGGTAGTTCCCAAATTAGATCTTTATGGCCAAAATATTATAACAGTGTAAGTACTAATAAAAGTATCTTAAACATTATAATTATATTTTGTAGAAATTTAGTACAACCTTTTTCATATTTATCTGCAGTAACGTAATATTTGTTTAAAATATCCCTCTTTCTTCATTTTACATCTTTTAGATACATGGTCTTATATATGTGGTGGATGCTAGTGATATTTCTCGTCTTACAGAAAATAAAGTTGTATTTGGTGAATTAATTACACATGAATATATTTCAGGAAAACCATTATTATTGTAAGAGAATTGAATATATTTATGCTTGTGTATTTTTGTTTATACACAAAACACTATTTACTGTCTATGCAACATAAAATGTCCAGTAGAGCACATGGAGTCTATTGTTTATATCCCAGCAAATAAGACCTGTATTGCTCTTGCTGAACTTTCTGTGCTACATGGATAGTACATAATGCACATTATGCACCAATTAAGTTTGCATAAAAAATATATATGTATACATATATGTGTGTGTGTGTGTATCAATACACAGCATGAATTTCCATCATTAAATGTTACATTGTTTATATTATCGAATACTGCAATACCATTATACATTTTATAATAGGCTTGCAAACAAACAGGATGTAAATGGGGCTATCGATGAACTAGATCTTGTTGAGCATTTAGATGTAGAACATGCTGTTAATACTATGAAATGTCCCACACGAGTGGAAATATGTTCATGCATTGAAAAGGGAGAACAATTAAAAGATAATAGCATAGGTATTAAAAATGGATATAAGTATGTATTTTAGCTTTTTACTTGACATTGAGTTTTAAGAATCTTAAAAAGATATAAATTTATATTAAGCAGAAATAAATAATTCATACAGATGGTTGCTGGACATAATATCAAAAAATTACATTGTTTTAAACAATAAACTTAAAGGTTTCCAGAATGCTCAGAATGAAAGAAACACAGAAGTACAAACCACAACATTTGATACACCATCAAAACTCTCAATTCATTCAAATCCTTTTAAACCAATCAAAGAATTGATTGCAAAGAAGGTAAGACTTTTTATGAACACCAGATTTATTGAAAAAACTTTTTTATTTCGTTTACAATTACAATTTTAGGATGGAGTTCAAGCAATAAGTATTTCAGAAAATGGTACGTAATAATCATCTTAATAACAATATATAATTTATTTAAAATATATGAAATGTACTTATAGGTGTTTTAAAGAGTGGAAAGAAATTAAAAAATATATTTACGCATAAAAATAAGACTGCACCACTTAATGTTGAAGAATCTGTTATTGAAATAAAAGATACATCAGAAACTGATCAGTCCACTAAAGTTTTAAAACCTCAAAGAAGTCTACAAGCATTTTCTTCAACATTGAATCCAACAACACTGAATGCGGATTCAAATGGAATCAGATATAAATTAACCCGTCCATATACAGCTCCAGGATGTTCACAACAATTTATAAATAAAATAACAGTAATTAATATACCTGGACAAGTAACGCAAGGATAATATTTTTAAGTTTTTATTTAAGTAATAATAAGGGACCATTGTAAAAATAATTAAATCATATAAAAATATTGTACTGATAAGTTCACACTGCAAAATGTTTTATATCTGTGAAATTTACTACATTAATAAAATGTGAGAGAATTGCATAAACTTTTATTACGTAATAAATTATTTCTGTAAATAAATTTTTATTTTATACTAGATATATAAAGCATAGGTGTTTTTGTTTCACATTAGTAGTCAAAAGATATTCTTATAATAACTTTATTATATTCCATAAATTTGTACACAAATTCATGTATACAAAAATTTGGCAAACATATGAACTAGAGAATACATATCAAAGGCTTATAAAATTTATAGTGTAAAGACGTTAGAAAACTTTCGATTATACAATAGCATATAAAACTGCATAAAAAACACTGTATCACGTAAAGCATACATCAGCACATATGTATCACAATTTACAATATCATATATATTGTAAAGATTTTTATAACATATCTTGTTGAGCAACTACTTTATCAAATATAATGTGTTGAAAAATCATCTTACAGATCATTATCATAAGGAACAATATATCTTATGTAATGCAAAGATTATTAAATTTTCTAACGAAAATATTCCACACAAATTACAATACACAGGTACAAATACAGCAATAAAAATGTAGTGTCAAATTACCAAAAATGATACTAGACACTATAAAATTACATTAATTGGAATTTGAAGACTACATATTCATATTATGAAAGACTGTTGTATCACCACTTTAGAAGTTTCCATAGATCATAATAATGCCACTTCAAATACAAATACAATAATTTTTATGATAATATTAATAGACAATTTTATTAAATTCTTATCTACTTTATCTAGCAATGCCATTTTTCAAACTATGAAACAAAATAACATTTCATGTATCAGCAATTCCAAAAGTGTATGCAAATTGCGCTTCTTAATTCTTATTTATTTTTTTAACGATAGGTAAATCTTGAATATTCGTTGTAATTGCACCTTATATAATCACAACTACTTTAATCAGGCTATATTTATCTATTACTAAGTTGAAAATATTTCATTCTCTATATAAGACGACTATTGCTTATTGCAAAAAGACACATGTTTTGTCCTTCTGACTTTGTACAATGTAGTAGTCATTAAATATATAATTTTCTTTAAGTTGCTTGCATTACAATAATTAAAAAATACCTTTTTCTAAATATGACATTAAAATAGTATAGTTGGTATATAAGTTACTTATAAAATTTTGTTCATAAAGCAGCAGTCACAAAGGCAATCAATTTTACTATATTTATAACGCTTTTTGTCTTAGTTTTACTTTTCATTTGTACTTATTCTGTACCTTACTTGTAATGTACTGAATATTATCTTAATAATATTGTTGTATGATCACTATTACACTCATTCTATGCAGCTTCCTAATTATTTAAAAATAATTAAAAGTTATATTTAAATATCTTATTCTTATAAATTCTACAGTAGGTACAAACCTTACAAAACATATATGATTTGTAAGACTTCTTCATAATCTAATAAGTAATATTGCTATATTATCTTGTAGTGCACATGTTATGTAATATAATGGCAATTTGTGTAAAATAAATGCTGTCATTTAAATGCAATACATTGCAGTCACACCAAATAGGATCTGCATAAGTAAAATATTACCATCTAATTTCCAACAATGGTGTGACTTATGCTCATAGAAATTTACATAGTGTAATTCATATTACACTTTATAAACTTTTCTGTATATAAAACAGCTATACAATTCCATTCTTTGGAGGTGTAAATTTTACTAAACGAGTTAACATTGAGGTAATGCATGGAATTTGTTTCTGTTGATGCATAGTGATATTGTCAGGAGTATTTGATTCAAAATCAAGAGCAACTCTCTGACAAACAAAAGTAAGTAAAGTTAACAAATCATAGCGAGTACCGTTTTCACGTAATTCCATACATAATGCTTGCATGAACCATGAACCACGAGTGGTATTTCTCCATGAATAATAACCTATATAATTAACATAGATTTTGATGAATTAAATATAATTAATTTCTTTCCAATATTTCGTGAAATTTACCTGGTATTGTTGAATAAGCAATTAAAATATCTGCTTGACATGGTATACGGTATGTTGAGGCTGGTTGACCATCAGTTTCAGTACGATCCTTTAGTGTTACTCCACTATCTAATTTATCCCCTTGACAGGCTTGTATAAAAAATAATTTCGGTTTTCCAGCAAGTGTAGGACATCTTTCAGCCGTAAAGTAAGACCAAATTGCGTCAGGCTTGTAAGAAGTATCATGAGCATAAAGTAATCCCATTTCTCCATGGCTTAAAACAGCTATAATTAGACAGTCGTGTTGAGAATGATCCATTCCAGCAACTGCAAAGGGAAAATACCACTGTTAAAGTATGTTTAATGCATCTCTATCTATGTGTTAAAATATTAAACTTAACAAAGCACACATTTATTAAGTACCTCTTTCCAAAGTTTTCACTATATCTCTATGTGCTGAATTATGAAAATCATTTACTTCAAAACCAAGATTTTTTAGTGTAGTAACAAGATTTTCACAATCCACATTTGTTCCACATCTTGGTTTAAGATGCGTAACAGTGAATACTTCGTGATTAAAAATGATAGCTAATCCACGTTTTGCATGATTCATGTTGTAATGAGTAGCGTAACGTTCTGTGGGTGCCGTTTGTATTGGACCCATAAGAGGGCTAACGCTATTTCTGAAAAATGAAAAAAAAAGTGCATGCATGTTCGTATCCGGGTTTAATTTACAAAATAATAACTCAATATAATTAAAATAATTCAAAACTTGTGTGAGGTTTTATAGTATTAACAGCAACAAAGTGCAAGTGTATAATTACAACTTTGTCTTATGTTCTTTATAGTTATTATTGTTTATTGTTAAAACAAAATATAATAAAAATAAAATTTATAACAAAAAATAATCATTATCAACTTGTTATAATAATAAATGTAACTCTATTATATGGAAAACTAGACCTAAAAAGATAATATGTATCAATATGGAAAATAATGGACATATCATAATGGAATTGTTTGGAAATTGTATGGTTAAGATATGTACTTTTCTAAGCTAATAAACATACCTAGAACATCCGAATGCATCTCCAACGTCATTACTAACTTGAATGCTACCATTTACAGCATCACTTTCCAAGGAACACATGGCTGCGATTTAAATATGATTTTCACAGGGAATAGTTTCGTTGTAAAAATACTGAACACAGTTTACTGGCACAGCGGAACATGAATATGACGCACACTAGAAACCTGCGTCATGACGCATATCCCTCTGGTTGATACGCATTGTAACTACATACACAATATATTTTTCGTTTCAAATTTTTCAGATACCATACATTATATTTATTCTATAAATGTATAAATATAAACACAAAATTGATTTTACTAGTATTTATTTTTTATTTCATATACATTCTCTTTATTGCACAAATGAACATTAGAAACTTCGTAATTATTAATTCGAATGGAAAATTTGTATACAAAATTTTAATTCTGATATAAATTAATAGAATATAAATATTTACATCATGTACATATATATGTTAAGTCTAAAAGTTTAATTAGTTTACATATTTTTTTTACAGTTCAACTAAATAATATACAATTTTCTTTCTCAGACTAAATGAATAACACTGTTATGTCTGTTATTACTTAAAGTACATATACTTTATCTATGTTATTCGTATTATATTCTAATTGATATTTTTAATTTCTTTTCGTTTTTCTTCTTATTATTAGAGTAATTATATATATGGTTCATTAAAATAATTAAGTACATAAATCAATTCTATTTTTGAGGCAGTGAATCAATTATTAGACAGATTACTAAATCATAATTAGTCATTAATAATTAATTACTTCCAAAGTAGTAAGTCTAAAAAAATCTCAGGGATCAATGATATATATACAAACAGTTAATAAATAACAAATCTAAAAGTACACTTAATAATGAATGTTCAAATAGATTTTTATGTCATAAGTTGTTTTGTTCTTGTCTTCAATTCAAAAGTAAAATCTTATTTAACTTAGTTTAAATAAATAATAGTGACACATAAAGTTATCTACTAATTCCTTTCTATAGCATATATCATCTTCAATAATGGTATAAAGAAAAATAACTTGTAATTCAACTCCCTTGAAGTCTACTTTTGAATTTCAAGGTTTCCAACTGAGGAAGCTATCCTGTATAACTATTTGTTTGAATATACTATGTGTAAGAGATTGTGAAGTTTTACGATTGCGTTGAGCTTCTAAGATATACGAAACTTTTTCTCTTGCTTCGCTACGAGAAATATCACCTCTAAGTCCCAGTAACCTAACCAAATGATCTTCAGTCATGTCAGGATATTTTTCAACTAAGGAATGTAAATCAAGCGAAAGAATTTCAGAATCTTCGCAACGTAAAACTTCGGCAAGACGTTTGATTATTTCAAAAGGAGAATTGAAATTCCCTATTTTCGGCGCTATTCTGTCAAAAAAGTTCTTCAATTTATCTGCTTCTGTCATTATTTTTGAAGTACATGTTAAGCATTCATCATATGTTTTCAAAGATATTTTCCTCTGCAGCATAGCAGAAATGTAACGTTTTGCAATAAGATTTTGTGCTTCTGTAATCACATATTCAAAATTCTTTGGACACAAATGATTGTAATCTTGGAAATAATCTTCCAAGGTTACACAAATGGTTTCTACTGGAATAGGAGATGATAACCATTTAGGAGTAATTAAATCTTGAAACTGTAATTCCAAATCTAAGAAAGATTCTTCAAGTAGTATAGCTACTGCTTCATTTCGTAACTGCTGGTAATTTGATAATAAATTTTCAAATTTAACAGTAGCATCTCCACTAGCATTAGGAACCCAATAAAGCTGTTTCATTTGTTGTGCAAGTTCTGTGAACTGTAAACAATTATTAACAATTGTAATCATATGATGTGTAAAATAAGGTACTTGACTTCTATCTTCAAAATGTTTGCTTTTAAATTCTAATATTGCTTGTCTATACATAAATCCATATTTAATAACTTGCTCAATACACAAAACTATAGCTTGGGCTGTTAATTCAGTACTAATAGTTTTAGTAACTTGGAGATTTTGATCAATCATTTGAAATATAATTACTGGTGCTGCTGTGTGATAATATGCCTCTTGAGTACTTCCTTCTGGAAGTACACCACTCCACCAATCAACTTTTTCAGTTTCCAAAGTTTTCTTCATCCAATCTTCATAATTTTGGCACATATTTTTTAGATACTTTTCTTGGAGATCACTTATAATTTCAGGATTTAATAAAGGACCAATATCGCTTGTATCAATATTTAATTCAGGATGTTGCATTAATTCTGGTCCAGTGTAAGTATTCATGATCCATGATAACAAAGAAACATATTCATTTCCTTCTAAGCCATTAGCAATTATGTCCTTTAAATGCAGAGATAAACTTGTATGATACATTTTAACAAAAGTTCTTACAATATTATACCAAGGTGGAAAACAAGGTTCACAAAGAGTTTTAACAACCCGTAAGTCTTCTAAAATTAGAAGTCTTGTGAGTTCCAGATATCTAACCAACCACATTTTATTATCTGCTCTTTCTTCAACATGAGTCCCTTCAATTCTGTTAGCTACAGATTTCTCCAAAACTTTCATTGCCATATCCTTCCATTTCTTAGGTCTTCCTGGTGGCATGAATCCACTTTGCTTATGTCTTTGGATAGCAAAATGATCTGCCTTCTCTTCTCTCTCTATTATTCTTAAAGCTGTTACAATAACAGTAGGTTCTTTTCTCACTGTATTTAATGTTCGACTTAATACTAATCTAATTTGTTTTTCCATCAATTGTGAGAGCATTTCAACATCTTCTAAATAAGCTTTTAACATAACAGTATCTGCTGGTGATTGATTTGGAAGTTTATGAAGTTCATAAAGCAAGTCATCTCTTGAATTTTCAAGATCCATAATGATTTGATGAGCATACAGAAGATTGCCCTGATTTATCCATTGTTTAGTCATTTCAACACTTTCAGGCAAAGTAAATGTATGCTTTAAATTCTCTTTAGCAGTAACATATTGTGAATGACGCATGTTTTCTTCTTGGACAGCTTGTAATTTTGCACTGAGTTCTGGAACTTGACTGAATAACTTGCCAATATCATCTAAATCCTCTTTTATGGAAGCAATACTCTTTAAGGAACTTTGAAGTTGTTCGAAGCCAACACGAACCCCATCTAATTGACTTTGCATTGCAGTTTTGAGCATAGTTTCTACGGAAGCTTTCTTCCGAGTTATTCTACGTTTGTACATATCAATCTTTTCCAATTGACCTGGACGTTGCAACAAATTTGACACATATTTTGTTGCTCTTGCCTTAGCCTCTTCTTCCAACTTTTGCAAATCTTCCATTTTTAAAATCGCTTAATTAAGTTACAACCTATTACAAAATTAGTGTTTATAAAAGAAGTAATAGTTATAACAATTCTTCTTGGACTACTTAACAATCGCTTAAAAAGAAAACATGAAAAGATTATTTTGACATTTGTAGAATTTTGATTAGGCATGTATTTTTAAGATACGTTTACATAGGACATCTTGTGATTCGATATGCTGTATGTACATGAAAGGGAACCCTAATAGACAATGCTCAAATTTGATTGATTACTTTTTCTCATATATTTACATCTTTCGTTTCCATGTAAATATAAAGTAATAATGATTTTTTTTACGCATGCATTACATCATTTAAAAAATATAAAAATATAGAAATTTCAAACTTAAAAATTTAGGAATTCAAGGATTTTTAATTTTCAATTCGGAATTGCAAATTTTAAAAAACTACCATCTGGTAATGTGTAGTTCGCTAATCCTTGGGGTGTGTAATTTGGTGGTATTTTGAAAGAGACAATTTCTCGACAATGTGTAGACGTGTCGATGATAGTATTATGTGATGTACCTGAATTTAAGAGTAGTATATTTTAATTGAAAGGAGTATTACATCTGTGAGAATTTTTGATAATCAGATGATTTTAATTGTAAACTTACATCGGACAAAGGTTATCACGAGACATTTTTAAAACGATGGACGAAATAGTATAATAGACGCGAATTAATCGAGATATTTCTTCCTGTCAAAAGACCAATATACATTTGTAATGTATTCTACAAGCATGTTGACATTAATGCTTATAATATTACTTAATGTCCAGGGTGGATTAATGGTGTCACAACATCCAAAATTATTAGTGGTATCGTATGATGCATTTAGGTATGTTTCATGACCTTATTCTTCTGGAATGTTGAAGATATAAATTCATTTAACATTGGATCTTTTGTATTTTACAGATATGACTACTTTAATAGAAATTTAACGCCTTTTATGAATAAACTGAAACATGAGGGCACATACGTAGATTATATGATGAATGTGTTCGTTACAAAAACATTTCCTAACCACCATACAATGGCCACAGGATTTTATGCAGAAACACATGGAGTTGTAGACAATGAATTCTATGACCCTGCTTCAGGAAACACGACAAATTATGATCTATATCATTATAATAATAACATACTTCCTATTTGGGTATGTAAAGAACAATCTTCAATATTATATATATATATATGTATGTGTGATAATATTTCTTACAAAAGTATTTTTATACTCCTATGGACAATAGACTGTTAATCAGAAACATGGTGCTCAAAGAAGAAGTGGTACAATGATGTGGCCTGGTAGTAGTTATGAATATCAAGGAATTACACCAACATTTTCGCAGGTTTATATTTTTCACTACTAAATTCCAAATATAAACATTTTAAATGTAATAATTTAGTAATTCATAATTTTATTAGAATTTTAATAGAACCATTTCTTGGGAAGATCGAATAGATGCTTTAATATCGTGGTTTGTTCACCCTATACGTCCAATCAATTTTGGAATACTATATATTGAAGAACCAGATTATCATGGTCATTTTGTTGGAATAAATGGACCTGAATTTGATAATATTCTTAGAAAATTGGACAATATAACAAAGTATTTGCATGATAGAATAGAATATCATGGTCTACATGACCTTAATATTGTTCATTTAAGTGATCATGGAATGGCACCTGTCAAATTAGACAGAATAATAGACTTAACAAAATATATTAATAGTTCGGACTATAAATTTGTTGGTACTTCACCAGGTTTACATATTTTCCCTAATCCTGGTATGTTGATTAAATATGTAAAGCTGTATTCAGTTAAAGAAAACACATTTCAAATAATTTGTTTTGTGTAGGCAAAGAAGACATAATTTATCAGTCGTTAAAACAAGCTGCAGAGAAAACAATGACTTTTAAAGTATATAAAAGAGAGGAAATTCCTAAGAAGTATCATTATGGAAATAATACACGTGTTGGTCCTATATTTGTCATTGCTGAAGTTGGATATGCATTTCAAAATCTTCTTGATGCTATAGAATTTTATAAGAAGAAATTTAATATTACAGGTATTTGTTTATAATACACGATTTCGAATAATGAAACGAACACGTTTAAAAATATAAATTTTTTAGTAAATGGTGATTCGGAATTTGGTCTTCATGGTTATGATAATGGGGCAGTAGAAATGCATCCTTTCTTTTTTGCGAAAGGTCCTGCATTTATGCCAAAATGTAAATTGGAGCCTTTTAACAACTTAGATTTATTCCCCTTATTTTGTAAGATACTTGATTTAGAGTGTCCTCCGGTAAATGGTACTTTATCACATCTAACTAAGTGTCTTAAGAAACATCAACAGGATGTTACAATTATTGCTTATCGAATGATATGTAAGTGAAAATTGTACAGTATTTCTTATGGTTGCTATAGTATTCGTTATAAATATTTGTTTCTAATTTAAGTTGTAGCTACTTCTATTTCTATGACAATGGTTGCAATCATAGGAGCACTTGAACTGTTCTATATTAGAAAAAGACGATTAGGAATACAAAATTACAGGTAAATAAGAGTACAATACTTCCTTTTTTCTAACATTTGTAAATATACTAATTAATTTGATAATGTAGCAAGTATTTATGAAAATATTGTTTGTACTTTTGGATTTAAAAAATGGAATCTAGAGAGTATTATAATAATACTATTGATATTTTAATTTTTCAGGAGATATTATTCAGTGGATGGATAATATATATAAATAATGTAAAACAACAAGTAATATGTATACTGTATACATTTTATTATATTATATATAATAACGAAATAAGTAACGAAAAATAATTTTAAAGAAATAACATAATAAAAAGATAGCATGATGATAAAAAATAAATAAAACAAATATTAGTTCGGTTTTTTTTTAAATGTGAAGTCTTATCTTCTGTTTTAGTACAGAAAGTAACAAAGTGTTTTAGAAGAAATTTATAGTATGTTGAAATAATTGATAGTATAATTAGTTGTAATTATGTTGTAACGTGATATTTAAAATTATGTAAAAGAATACAAAAGTAATTATAATCTAGTAAAATGTGCACGAAAAATTTTAATCATTCAGTTACATAATGAAAACTTATTTAACAAATAACAAGACCTCAGTTTCTCATTTATATGTCAATAAATAAATACTTTAAATAAAAAAGATACTTCCCAATACATCTACTCTTTCTAACGTTAGTATAAAAAGTAATCAGATCCGACTTTTTGTTTTTAGAAGAATACTGGAAGATTTGGAAGCGCAATACCATTTGGACGAAAGTTGCAATATTGAAAATGTTTCTTGCAAGTAAATTTCCAAAGATTTATTTTCAATTTTTTTCTGCTTTTGTTCCATTTTCACGAGGGATTGCTTTCTGTGCGCAAAAGAAAGAAAACACTGAAAATTTTGAAGTATAAGTGAATATTAATAATCTGTTTCTCTTTTCAGATCAAACCATTTTCCAGATTTATTTATAATTTCATGTCATACGAAGAGTAGACATTCAAATGAGCGTAAAGGAAGCATTAAGTATAGGAAATCTTTTTTTCACTATAGGTGACATATACATCATATGTTACACTATTAAACACATATAAATGAGAAAATATTTCTGTGATAAAACGAACAGTTTGATATTTCTTGATCACTCTTAAAATAGTGTACATAAATTCAAGAATGATCATTATTAATTCATGTATTAGATATACACATTTTCATGAATGTCCTAAATTCAAAAATGATCATTATTAATTCATGTATTAGATATACACTTTTTCATGAATGTCCATGCAATACTTAGTATATGTACTTTTTATTCCCTTGCATTCTACATGATACTCATTACAATAAATGTAAGTTATGTATAGAATAGGAAATTTATAAACTACAAATTGATCTTTGAATTTGTAGTATCATTCACAGTATAATTTTTGAAAGATTTTCAAGATTATTTATTCTGTTTCGCTGTTACAGGAGATTATGATCATGTGTTATAAAATTGTTTACAATTCGGTATTATCTTTACGGTACATATACACATATGGTATAGTATCCATTTATAATAGTGACTTTCATTATAATAGTTCAATATAATAGTGACCAATTTCACTATGATAAAGTAGTTAAATAAAATCAAACAATGTAATTAACAAGCACCGTATTACTTTAGGTACTAGAACATAACATAATTTATCCTACTTGACAAAATATTGTACAAAATTGAATGTATCTTGATCATGCACCAATTGTGTAACAATTCACATGTAAATATATCGAATATGTACATATCGAATATGTAAATACATGCCATTGTAAAAAAATGATTCTGCTTTCTTATATTTTTAACAATAGGTATTTTAGGATTTTATCATTTAAACGACATTAGCAACTTTGTTGAGTTCGAGTGGAGTGAAATGATTGAAAAACAAGTCAGACAATACTAGTTATGTCATTGCCGGATGACACTATCTTGTTTGGCGCATATCAATGATACTTATACCGTCATCCAAGTATCAATTATCTATATCCAATCGTACGAGAAATGTTACTTTTTATTGTTAGTACCGTCACAGATGTTTGGTTCCATTTATTAAGTTTGCAAGCAGGTGATTCAAATATGGAACCTTCAAATTCGAAAATTGTTAAATTCTGAAACTTAAAATTTTAAAAATTATAAAATCGTATAATATAAATAATTTTGTAATTGTTTAATAATTTCTGTTTATATGGTCTTGATTAATTATTTAAAAAATTCGATGTAATTTTCATAGTATACATTCCGATTGCAGTCAATTCGTAAGTGACCTCAATCGATCTTTAAAATATTCACCAAATAAAGTCCTATTTTAACGGTTTCGCAATACAAATTTTCTGACATGAAATCCAGTATTTTACTAAACCTGCGACATCAGAACAAGTATATTTTCCTCCTCTGTTTCTTCTGATGTAAATTTTATTAACTAAGAATATACCTCTAGGATTGCATCAGCCATCTTTACAGAAACTGTAAGATTAATGTAAAATACCTTTAATGAGAAGTATTCAGTTTGTACTTGATCGGGCAACAGTAAGGATCGCGGAAATAGGTGTATCCGCAAGTCTTGTAAAAATCATTAAACTTATCGAATACAGCAAAATTGAATTAATTTTGTTGTCGTTGTTACAGAAGATGACTACAGTCAAAATGTTATTCATATGTTTAACATTAAGTACTTTACTGTGAGGAAACAGGACAAGTGTTCTTTTTTAAACGACGCCTCTTGTAGGACACATCGTGTCAAAAGACAATTCTTTGGTATATTTTATAAAACAAAATTAATTTTTATATTATATTACCACGTGCTACGTGTCACATTACTTCACTACTCGTTATATTGCCCAGATTTCTAAGAATGTTTCTCTCCGTAACAGTGTAACGCGGTAAAACCACTGCTATGATAATTTGGAAGAATGTACAAATTCACACGAATGCGAAATAAGTAGAAATGTAAAAGGCGATTAATCATGCTCGCAAATAGAGAAATGGCTGTTATGGATTTTCCATCAGCTGCTCAATATTTTAACTAGAAAATTAAGCAATCTATGACGCTAGTTCGAAAGGTCCGAACCAAAGATGGAGGTCAAGAAGTGTCAGCAACTATCATGCATCACATACACTGCTTCTTTCGTGTTCCATTTGTTGTGCAATTCAGATCTCACTTGATAAATGATCTGATTCATTCTGGACCAAAGATCAAATAAAATTTCTATCTTGCAAATTATTTTCTACTAAAATTTGAAACATCGTTTCAAACAGCGTCATTGCTAGCAGCTCCAAAATAACATAATTTATTTATTATAATTCAAGTTCGTGACACGCAATTGGAAATTCCTTCACCCTGAATTACTTTCCTTATTACGAAATATCATTATTTTGCATCAAAACAAATTAAGATCGAAAGTCACACATAATGTATAATTCGCTTTGAATTACATCGAGGAAATATTATCAGAATCTTGATCAAAACTGAAACTTTCAGACAGAACATGCCTTACCCCAGAGAACGAATTAGGCGATTGCATCGACACTAAGCAGTGTCCATTACTGTTAGCCACCCTGATAATTGAAGGGGAGTCCGCACATGATTACATACGAGAAAGAACGTGCAGCTTTGATGGTAGAAATGCAATCGTTTGCTGTTTCAACGCTACCAAGAACAGCGAAAGCAGGAATCATAAAGATCCACTATTACGGCCACCGCATTGTGGCCTCAGCGGCGGCAGCCATGACAAGGTGGTTGGTGGTGTTCGAGCCAGATTAGGTACATAGTATTTACTTTTTTATCAACAGGCAGCGTTAGATCGAGCATCGTTGATGACACGAATTATATAAACGATAAATTCTGATCGTAAAATTTTGAATCTTAGCATACAAACGTCGATTCATTTTAGGTGCATGGCCCTGGATCGCTGCTTTAGGATATCGGAACGCAAGTGATCCGTCGCAACTGCAATGGAAGTGCGGAGGATCTCTGATATCGGCGAGACACGTTCTGACCGCTGCACATTGCTGCAATAATTACTTATCCACGGTTCGTATCGGAGATTTAAATCTGAGGCGGTTCGACGATGGTGCACATCCCGTACAAGTGGAAATCGCGCAGAAAATAATTCATCCTCTTTACAGAACCGGAGTGGCCGAGAACGACATAGCTGTTCTCAAACTAGCCGAGGATGTGCCATTTTCCAGTAACAATTTTTCCTCGACAATTTAGGCAATGAAAATAGTTTTCTATCGTTACGTTTTTGTTTGTAGAAACTTTGCATCCAATTTGTCTGCCAGTTGATCCACCTCTTCGAGACATGAACTTAGAGAATTATTATCCCTACATTGCTGGATGGGGATCGCAGTCACTGAGTTAATACTTGATTTTATTATTAATAATACTTGAACGAAAAATCTGTGAAAATACTCTATTTGATTGTCCACAGAAGGAGAAACTGTAGATCATCTTATGGAGGCAAACGTGCCAGTGATTAGTAATGATGATTGTAAACGGCAATATTCTAATATAAGGGGAGCTGTCATTGACAATCGAGTGGTATGCGCTGGATTCCCTCATGGTGGGAAGGATGCTTGTCAGGTAGTCATAAAATTCATCAAACCTTCATTGCAAACATCTCATTTATTTTAATTAGCGAAACTTTGTCATGCAACGTTTAAAAACTCGATAAAATCCAGAAGCACATATATTCAAATAGTTACATCAGACATTAAATTATTCGAATGATCTGAATTAATCACACAAAATAATTCGGAGCGAGAAGGTTCTCCTCTAATTCTTCATAATTTTGTAGGGTGATAGCGGAGGACCTTTGATGTTGTCGCCCTCAAATTTCTTCTATTAAATCGGAGTAATTTCGTACAGTTACAAATGCGCTGAGCCTGAATATGCCGGTGTCTACACCAGAGTCACCGAATTCCTGGATTTCATTATCTCCGCGGTGCAGTAATCGAACAGAATTTCGTGAAAGTAAAAGTTTCCTGTAATTTTTCCCCCACTTCCCAATTTTGACGAGACATTACCATGACTTGTACATGAACATTATACCACGAATAAATGATTTTTGCATACACTCTTCTTTCTTTATTTTTTAATCGATGATTCTTGGATTCAATGGACGTCACTGTCATTTATGTTGCATTTGAGAGTATTGACGTATCTTAAACGCAGCTGTATACATTAAGAGTGCAAGAATTGGCAAACAAGTCAGATGTAACATGTTATGTCATCATCAAATAATACTATCTCGTCTGACGCATGCCAGCGGTTAACATATGTTCTGTTGTATAGTGATAATGTCCAGACAGTGTACAGACAATGTTACGTTAACGTAATTTGTAATTTTGCAATTTTTTAATTTTGGAGTGTTAGTCTGAAATTTTGGGGTTTCTCAATTTTGTGACTTCGGAATTTCGAAAGATTGGACCTTGGAAATTTCGGGTTTCTGCGCTTTAAAATCTAAAAATTTGTAGAATTCTGCAACTTCAGAATTTTGTAACACAAAATCTTCGAAATTTAGAAATGATTGAAATTTGAAACTAGAGAATTATAGAATTTTGGAATCTTGCAACCTTAAAATAAACACGCGAATTTTTTAGGTTAAAATGAATTATTTAGAAATTATGAAATTTCTAGTAACAATGTTGCCTTACATACGTTTTTCGTTATAATAACTATGACCTTGCACTTAAACTCTGTAAGTGTAATAAATTTTCATTCAGAGCTATTTATAAGTATGATTTCCTGCACAATCACATAGCAACACTAAATAATCAGGAAATTTGATGATAGTTAACAACAGTCGGGAAGTATTTAACAATTTGTTCGTCCTTGTGTGAAAATCGAGTCCGGGATATCAAATAATTGGGGGAATACCAAAAATAGGCGACGATCAGCGACCGTAACACTGTACATAATATGTGTCATTCATTTCCATGAATTCAATGCCGAAGGTAACGAACCAGAACTCGTTCGATATCACTGCATTCAAGATGTAAGGCATTAAAATCTCCGAGCGCGTCGATGCATGTACATAAGTGAAATCAGAAATTCATGCCGCATTAATCATATCTTAACACGCGATTCAGTTGTATGAAAACACGATGGAAATGAAAATTGTACACATGTGTTTACTCTACGAGTTTGTGTTCTTATCTTTCTATGATAATTAAATAAATATTGCATAATTATTATGTTCGATGCTTATCATCGTTTTCTTGTAATTATTATTCTTCCTTTATTCGAGATTTTTGGATTTTAGAGTATTGCAATTTTGGGATTTTAGGATTTTGGGGATTTTGGGGTTTTGGGGTATTGGGATTTTGGGGTATTGGGATTTTGGGATTTTGAGGTATTGGGGTTTTGGGGTATTGGGATTTTGGGATTTTGAGATATTGGGGTTTTGGGGTATTGGGATTTTGGGGTATTGGGATTTTAGGATTTTGGGGATTTTGGGGTTTTGGGGTATTGGGATTTTGGGATTTTGAGGTATTGGGATTTTGGGATTTTGAGATATTGGGGTTTTAGGGTATTGGGATTTTGGGGTATTGGGATTTTAGGATTTTGGGGATTTTGGGATTTTGGGATTTTGAGATATTGGGGTTTTGGGGTATTGGGATTTTAGAATTTTTGGGATTTTGGGATATTGGGGTTTTGGAGTATTGGAATTTTGGGATTATGGGGATTTGGGGTTTTTGAGATTTTGGGATATTGGAATTTGAGGTTTTTGAGATATTGGAATATTGGAATTGGAATCAAGGTATTTGGAGATCTAGAGATCTAGGAATATCGCGATTTACAAATCCAGGTATTTAGGTATTCCTGAATATAATAATATAGGACATAGGGTACAGATATATTAGACTATCTAGGAATCTAAGAATCTGGGAATACCTACAAATATCTAAAGTTATAGGAAGTTAGGGACACTGGAGCAAAGATCTGAAGATGTAGACATACGGTTCTGGGGATGTAGAGCTAGAATGTGTAGATCTAAGAGTATAGGTATCTGCGTATTAAAAAAAAACAACATAAGAATCTAGGATCATAGAGATTTAATAGTATAAACATCTAGGTATACACATACTCCTAACATTATAATTAATATCTATTAAAACAATAGAGGAACTTAAATTTTAACGGATGTAACAAGGGAACATATCGCATGAAATTCCAATGAAACTTATGTAAAAGATAGTTCTCAAGAAAATATTTGACACGTACTTTTTTATATCGGCCATCGTCCACATTGAAGGGGTGATAACAGCCCTCAAAGTTAAGGGTTGAAATCATACTTTTGGAAATATCTCCAAAACTAAAGGAGATAATTGAAAGCTTTTTCTTTTGTATTGTGGGTCTTTTAACAGAGAATTTTTCTGCATACAAAATTGTAATAAACTTCATTTATTTAAATAATATCGTAAAATTCAATAGATTTGAATTCCGCTGTAAATTAACATCCCATCAATTTTCCGTAAACGATCGTTAAAAACGCATCGCATAATTCATTGTTTGCGTAGAAGCAAATATTTCTGTGGTTAGTTTTACGTTTAGATGCACTAATGAGTTATAACACGTCAATAGATAATATTTGAGGATGATTGACGATTCCGTAAAGACACGAATATGGCAACTGGAACAATTGTTAAACAAGGTTGTTAATTAGGACTTAATGATACATAAACCTTTTAATAACGCAGTTATAAGATCCATAGCGCGTGCGTCAACCATGGTTCCCGGAATTGTAAAACTTTTTTTAAAAGTGGCCACCGTGATGAGAAATCCTCAGTCGGACGCGAGTCGTGCCAGAAGAAGGTTCGCGCGAATTGTCGTGGACTTAGTGGCTCACAGAAATCGACTATTTATTGAATAGTCACGTATCTATAAATTTATTGAATAATCAGGTATAATTCAGTTAAGTTCATTCAGAAACTCGACGTTTAACGAAAAGGTCACTCCGTGTCGTGTAGTACGCGAAGATTACTGCGAAAAATTATAGACGAGATACCAATAATTACAGTGTTCTGCTTTGTAATTTTTATAGTCATTACCTGTTTTGTGATAATTTATTCTAAAGTGCATTATCTGTGAAATTTGTGAGATTTGGTGTATGAACAGAGCTTGATGTATATTAAATTATTTTATACTTATTGAATAATATTTCATGTGAACGTGAATTAAATTCACTTCAAATACGACTATGTGATGTTTTCATATAGTCATAATCCTATAAATTATACCAGTGCAATTTGTATTTTTTTTTAAATATTTGTGAAACTTGATATTCGTATATTTTCATGCGATACTGAACCTTCTCTTTCTTTTCAGAAACCCAGCGACAAGAAAGATGTTGTTCCCATGTTTGGCGTTAATTGCAGTTCTGTATCCATCAATGGTTCCCCAGGTATCCGCAGAAGGTTTGTAAAAGAAATTTTTTTCCAACTGTAATATCTACGAACAGTCTTCGTGTTCAAACCATTTCCGTTTTTTGAAGCTAAAAGCATATCCGATAATTACGCTACAAAAACATTGGTGGTTATTTTTCGCCAAACGAAATAAAACGGTAACACGTGTCGTAGCGAATGGTTCATAAAAATTTGACGATTTCTAGTTTCTTCCGAATGACTGATAGCATTCACGCGATAGAAAATCTTTTCTCCGAAATCATGCTCACGAGATGTGTGATAAAACGCGGTGCATGACTTAAGCGTTACATAATGTAAACAGAAGTTGTTGACAGAAAAGCATCTCGATTCATCTTAAGAAACGTCGTGCATTTCATAGAATCTGAAATCTAGCCTTCTGCGAAAATTGTGTTGAACAATTGTAATCATTTTGAACTGGATAAATTCTTAGATGATTGGATTAGAGGATTAATTGGTAAATTCTCAAGGAAGTCAAGAGAAAAGACAGACGAAGTATGTGTACATTGCAACTTTCTGCATGAGCCCCTGACGCAGGGAAATACCGATACTCGCCAGTATAGGTACTTTATGAACTGAGCTCTAGTTACACTGATGTTTATATTATACATAAGTTTTTGATGTTTATATTATACATAAGCTGGTAATTTTCTCACTGTGGTAATTCACAAGGTTAGATCACACGTTCCTAAATTGTCATTCGTCACCATTCGCTATATCGCACCATATAGCACCGCTATATCACCACACGTTACTTTCCACTCGTTACCGCGCTATCATCAAATCTTACATTCCGAATATACCAAATAATTTGGTTACTGGACTTCCCAAAACTTTCCTATCCACATCATAGCTACAAAAAGTTCAAGATAACCAAACGTGCAAAGAAGATTCACGTGCTTGCGAAATGACTTGTAAAAAGCAATTAGTCATAGATTGTTGATCGAAGACTGTTCTGAAGGTCGTCCATAGAGAAATGACCATCACGGAATCCCCTTCGACTGGTTAATTTTTACCTAGAAAATTGAGTAATCTATGACGTACACTAGTTGGAACATGATCAAGGTCTGAACCTTCAAAGATGGAGGTCAAGAAATGTTAGCAATTACAGTTATCATGCATCGCATGCGTTTCTAACCTTTCGTGTTATTGTAGATCTCAGTTGACGATTGATCTAATTCGTTCTGAACCAAAGATCAAATACCATTAAAGTTCTATTCAGAATTTGACCTATTTCGCTGCATTTCAAGTATACTTGAATCAATAATTTAACTTGTTATGCAGTCTTCGAATATGAATTCATTAATTCGTTCTTAAAGCTAGTTTTTGTTAATCCCAATATTTTTTTCTTTGATTGAATTTTAATTTGTTTGTGTGGTTTCATGCGAATCGAATTTATAATGCATAGTTTTTTTTATATGACATTGGAAGGATCTTGAGGTATTATTTTGTTTTTTAAATGTCTGGACATTCATTAGTCAATGAGATATAGTGGGACTTATATCATCGTCTGTCAGTCAAACTATATGATCTTCAAATATGCACTTTTTCAAAATATAATTTACCTTTTATTTTAATTTAATTTCCGTCAAAATAAATATGATTATCCGTGCACATTTTTCTAATCTTCTATGACATCTTCATACCGAGTGGCTTCAAAATTACTTAGTTACAAGCAGCAATTAGTACACGAAATAGATAAAAATAAAGCGAGAAATAATGTGGTATTACGTAATACTGCCCGTTGAAATGTTAATAATACCAAGAATCACGGTATAGTTATTTTTACTATAACGAGCAAAGTTTGAGCGATGATAAAAAAACAAGGTTTGCAATATCCTTTCGATTTACGATATCAGTATTTTTCCAAGAAACCAATCGCTGCCTGCAACAAGAAACGTAATTAAACAACGTTGCTTGAAAATCAACATTCTCGTTTTTGCTCAAGGCGTAATCGTGTGTAATCAGAGGATACTAACGGTAATGATTTTCTCTTCAACCAGTAACTTCCTGTCTAAATTTACGTCAAGACCTAGAATATACTTCTTAATGTTGAACAGGTATACTTGAATTTTCAATATTTGCTCTTGTGCTAACTCAATTATGGGTTATTCCGAAAAGATGATCTTGGTTTGATAAATCATAATAGCTCTTCATAAGCACGCGTTAACTGATCGAGCAAAAACAAACTGAAAAATGTGGAACTTATTCGTTCAAATATTGTCAATTGAATGACTAGTTTAAAGTAAACGTGTTCGATGAAGTATACTAAGAGCCACGAAATTCACAGTAACAAGATAATCAGTACTTTCAGAAAATACTTTCCTATATTCTTTTACACTTCATTAATTTTTTGGTGAAACAAGTATAATTAGTTCATGCTATAAATAACAAAAGGAGGCAATATGACTAATTCACGGCTTTCATTAAATTTATAAACAATTCACAAAATATTTGTTAATATTAGAGTTAAATGAATACGCTAAATGAATATTAGAGTTAAATGAATACTAGAGTTAAAAATACTGCTTTTCAGGTGAACCATGTACACGAAACAATCTACAAGGCGTCTGCATTAACATACGGTCCTGTCCGTTTTTAATAAATATACTACAAACTCAAGGCATAGCAGCCAGTGAATACTTGATGAGCACTGTTTGCTATTACGCTGACAGGGATCCAATTGTTTGTTGCCCTCAGAACGACTCAAGAGATAGTAAAGAAATAAGGGACAGTCCGTATGGACCATTGCAACCACCGGATTGTGGCTTCAGCAGCATCCAACATCAAAGAGTTGTTGGTGGTGTGCCAGCTGAACCTGGTATGTAGATTATATCTCACTTTTTTTATGTTTTTTAATTAATTTATCTGTGGGTAGAATCAACAATGTAACAGTGTAAATTTAATTCGGGAATAAATTTCGACAATTCCACATTGATGCATCCCCAAATTCCAACGTCCCTAATTTTCTATATCTCAAAATTTCTACGTTGCCAGATTGTTACATCCCCAAATTCCCATATCCCCAAATTTTTACATTCCCAAATTTCCACAATCCCAAATTCCCACATCACCAAATTCCCACATCACCAAATTCCCACATCCCCAAATTTCCATATCCCCAAATTTCCACATTCCCAAATTCATACATCCCCAAATTCCCAAATCCCCAAATTCTCACATCCCAAATTCTCACATCTCCAAATTCCCACATTCCCAATTGTTAAATTTCCAAATCTCTTAAAACTCCTCTTGAGTCTCCCCAATTTTAATTTCAGCACCTAAATTATCTAATGTACATTAGCAATGTTTACAATATTTCAGGTGCATGGCCCTGGCTAGCAGCCTTAGGCTACGAGAATAAAAACAATCCATCGCAACCAAAATGGCTGTGCGGAGGATCCTTGATATCCGCCCGACACGTTTTGACTGCCGCCCACTGTATTCGCAATGATTTGTACACCGTCCGCATTGGGGACCTAGATTTATACAGCGATAACGACGGTGTTCAACCTGTTCAACTAGGAATTGACAAAGTAACAGTTCATCCTCAATATAGCACCTCTTCGACCGTCAACGATATAGCTATTATCAGGTTGAACAACGACGTGCAATTTTCCGGTAAGTATCAATGCTATAAGTATCCATTCAAGTTTTTCCTCGAAATAAAAATTTCAAGTGTTCGATGTGAGTGTTCATTGATCGAAGTGAAATTCTATTCGAAATGAACGAACAGAAGTTTCGTTAAGAATTAAAATATCTCGACTGTTTTTACCTTTTTACTTTCAGAGCACGTCCGCCCGATTTGTCTCCCAGTAGGGCCTTCCCTTCGGAACAATAATTTCGTACGAGCCTATCCGTTCATTGCTGGATGGGGATCACTTGCACCAAGTAAATAAATTCGTTCGCTATTTTCCAATGTAAATTTTATTTGAATATTCTTCATTTGCCTTGTTCTGCAGAGGGTGCTAGTAGCGCGGTTCTTATGGAGGCGCAGGTACCGGTAGTTACTAATGCGGCTTGTAAAGATGCATATTCTCGATTCCAAGCTGCTGTCATCGATGATCGAGTATTGTGTGCTGGATATGCTCGTGGTGGAAAGGATGCTTGCCAGGTAAAGTCACAAAATTCATGAAACCTTCAAATTCACAAACTTCTACGCAGCCATTAATTTCCATTTTAGCGAATGCAAACTTTGTCATGCAACGTTTAAAAATTCGATAAAATCACTTCATAAAAAAATAATTCGGTGAAATGTAGAAGGTCTTCTTAATTTTGTAGGGTGACAGCGGAGGACCTTTGATGTTGTCGCCAGGGTGATAGCGGAGGACCTTTGATGTTGCCGCAGCGCCAGCATTTCTTCCAAATTGGAGTGGTTTCGTACGGTTATAAATGTGCTCTGCCTGGATATCCTGGTGTTTACACTAGAGTCACCGATTTCCTGGATTTCATTATCTCTGCGATGCAGTAATCGAAAAGTATTCGTGAAGCTTAAGGTTCCACCCACTCTAGATAAAAATCTTGGACTGTAAATAATCTCTGTAAATGCTGTTAGTTGCACATCGATTAGCGTCTTCTGTTAAACGAACGATTTTGCACTGAAAGTGTTTCTGAAACGCGAAGGACTTTGTTAATTAATCTCGATTAAAATATAATTTAAACCATTTTTCAGATTTATTTATAATTTCATGTCATATGAAGAGTAGACATTCATATGAGCGTAAAGGACGCATTATGTATAGGAAATCTTTTTTTTGCTATAGGTGACATATACATCATATGCTACACTATTAAACATATATAAATGAGAAAATATTTCTGTGACAAAACGAACAGTTTGATATTTCTTGATCACTCTTAAAATAGTGTACATAAATTCAAAAATGATCATTATTAATTCATGTATTAGATATACACTTTTTCATGAATGTCCATGCAATACTTAGTATATGTACTTTTTATTCCCTTGCATTCTACATGATACTCATTACAATAAATGTAAGTTATGTATAGAATAGGAAATTTATAAACTACAAATTGATCTTTGAATTTGTAGTATCATTCACAGTATAATTTTTGAAAGATTTTCAAGATTATTTATTCTGTTTCGCTGTTACAGGAGATTATGATCATGTGTTATAAAATTGTTTACAATTCGGTATTATCTTTACGGTACATATACACATATGGTATAGTATCCATTTAGAATAGCGACCTTCATTTTAATAGTTTAATATAATAGTGACCAATTTCACTATGATAAAGTAATTAAATAAAATCAAACAATGTAATTAACAAGCACCGTATTACTTTAGGTACTAGAACATAACATAATTTATCCTACTTGACAAAATATTGTACAAAATTGAATGTATCTTGATCATGCACCAATTGTGTAACAATTCACATGTAAATATATCGAATATGTACATACATGCCATTATAGAAAAATGATTTTGCTTTCTCATATTTTTAACAACAGGTATTTTAAGATTTTATAATTCAAATGATATTAGCAACTTTGTTGAGTTCGAGTGGAATGGAAGGATTAAAAAACAAGTCAGACAATACTAGTTATGTCATTGCCGGATGACACTATCTTGTTTGGCGCATATCTATGACACTTATGCCGTCATCAATGTATCAATTATCTATATCCAAACAATGTTTCTTGAGAAACAGGACGCGTTTATTTTTTAAACGACACATCGTGTAGGACTCATCGTGTCAAAAGACACTTCTTTGGTATATTTTATAAAACAAAATTAACTTTTATATTATATTACCACGTGCCATATGTCACGTGCCACGTGTCACATTACTTCACTATTCGTTATATTGCCCAGATTTCTAAAAACGTTCTTCTCCTACGTCCCTTCCGTAACGTCTAGAAGTAGAAATGTAAAAGGCGATTAATTATGCTGATGAATAGAGAAATGGCTGCTATGGTTCCATCACCTGCCCAATATTTTAACTAGAAAATTGAGTAATCTATTGAGTCCGAACCAAAGATGGAGTTCAAGAAGTGTCAGCAATTATGATGCACCACATGCAATGCTCCTTTCTTGTTCCATTTATTGTGCAATTCAGATTTTACTTGATAAGCGATCTGATCCATTCTGGACCAAAGATCAAATAAAACTTCTATCTTCCAAATTGCTTTCTACTAAAATTTAAACAATTAGATTTAGGAGAAATTATATCGATTAATTTTTTAATTTCACTTGCACTTTATTCATTGCTTCGTTATTCATCGATATGTATCTGCGATTTCATTTTAATTAATCGCACTGTGTCTTCTGCGACGAACTTATTCTGTGGCAGTTACGCAGTCTGGTTCCATTGAATCGAATTTATGATTTACATTTTATAACACAGGAAGAATGTTAAAGTACCTTGCTTTCTGTGCATTGAAATATTGAGGAAAAATTGAATAAAGTAGCTCTTTTCTCGACCATGATGTAATGCCACGAAAATGCCGCATAAATGTCGATTTATGAATACCAATGTGAAGTTTGAACGAAAACTTGTTTTACTCAAAATAATTTCCATTTTGCATGTATCTTTGGTGATATAAACAAATGTTTATCTCAAACATGACACAGCTTCCATCCAGAATCCAATATAGATCTAAACTTGTTATGTCTTTTAAAATGATTCACTTATACGAATTCCTTTAAACGTTGTTATTGTAGCTCAGAAATAAAATTATTTATTTATTATAATGAATGTGTCCCGAAATTGTTTAACCCTCCTAAATAGTGGGCACCGTGATGAGAAATCCTCAATCAGACGCGAGTCGTGCCAGAAGCAGGTTCGCGTGAATTGTCGTGAACTTAGTGGCTCACAGCAATCGACTATTTATTGGATAGTCACGTATTTATAAATTTATTGAATAATCAGGTATAATTCAGTTAAGCTCATTCAGAAACTCGACGTTTAACGAAAAGGTCACTCCGTGTAGAGTAGTACGCGAAGATTACTACGAAAAATTATAGACGAGATACCAATAATTACAGTGTTCTGCTTTGTAATTTTTATAGTTATTACCTGTTTTGTGATAATTTATTCTAAAGTGTATTATCTGTGAAATTTGTGAGGTTTGGTGTATGAACAGAGCTTGATGTATATTAAATTATTTTATACTTATTGAATAATATTTCATGTGAACGTGAATTAAATTCACTTCAAATACGACTATGTGATGTTTTCATATAGTCATAATCCTATAAATTATACCAGTGCAATTTGTATTCTTTTTTAAATATTTGTGAAACTTGATATTCGTATATTTTTATGCGATACTGAACCTTCTCTTTCTTTTCAGAAACCCAGCGACAGTAAAGATGTTGTTCCCATGTTTGGCGTTAATTGCAGTTCTATATCCATCCATGGTTCCCCAGGTATCCGCAGAAGGTTTGTAAAAGAAATTTTTTTCCAACTGTAATATCTATGTAATACCCAACAAATTGAAAAATGTTCAACTTATTCGTTTAAATATTGTCAATTGAATGACTAGTATAAAGTAAATGTGTTCGATGAAGTATACTAAGAATCACGAAATTCATAGTAACAAGATAATCAGTACTTTCAGAAAATACCTTCCTATATTTTTTCATATTTCATTAATTTTTTGGTGAAACAAGTATAATTAGTTCATGCTATAAATAACAAAAGGAGGCAATATGACTAATTCATGGCTTTCATCAAATTCATAAACCGTTCATAAAATATTTGTTAATATTAGAGTTAAATGAATACGTTAAATGAATATTAGAGTTAAATGAATACTGGAGTTAAAAATACTGCTTTTCAGGTGAACCATGTACACGAAACAATGTACAAGGCGTCTGCATTAACGTACGGTCCTGTCCGTTTTTAATAAATATACTACAAACTCAAGGCATGACAGCCAGTGAATACTTGACGAATACTGTTTGCTATTACGCCGGCAAAGATCCAATTGTTTGTTGCCCTCAGAACAACTCAACAGATAGTAAGGAAATAAGGGACAGTCCGTATGGGCCATTGGAACCACCGGTTTGTGGCTTCAGCAGTCTCGCATCAGTTGTTGGTGGTGTGCCATCTGCACCTCGTACGTAGTTCATATCTCACTTTTCTTATGTTTATTGATTAATTTATTTGTGGGTAGATCAACAATGTAACAGTGTAAATTTAATTGGGGAATAAATTTCGAAAATCCCACATTGTTACATCCTCAAAATCCAACGTCCCCTGATTTCTGTATCTCCAAATTTCTACGTTGCCAAATTGTTACATCTCCAAATATCTATATTTCCAAATTTCTACATCCCCAAATTCCTACACCCCCAATTGTCAAGTCCCCAAATCTCTTAAAACTTGACTCTCCCCAATTTCAATTTTAGTAAATTAAATATGTACTGTACATTAACAGTGTTTACAATATTTCAGTTGTATGGCCTTGGCTAGCAGCCTTAGGCTACGAGAATAAAAGCAATCCATCGCAACCAAAATGGCTGTGCGGAGGTTCCTTGATATCCTCCAGACACATTTTGACTGCCGCGCACTGTATTCGCAAGGATTTACGCACCGTCCGCATTGGGGACATAGATTTATACAGCGATGAAGACGGTGTTATACCTGTTCAATTGGGAATTGACAACGTAACAGTTCATCCTCACTATAGCAAGTATCCGCCCGTTAATGATGTAGCTGTTATCAGGTTGAACGACGATGTGGAATTTTCCGGTAAGTATCAATGCTATACATATCCATTCTTCCTCGAAATAAAAATTTCAAGTGTACATTGAAATTCTGTTCGAAATGAACGAATAGAAGTTTCGTTAAGAATGAAAATATCTGAATCGTTTTTGTCTTTTTACTTTCAGATTTCGTCCGCCCGATTTGTCTCCCAGTAGGGCCTTTCCTTCGGAACAATAGTTTCGTACGAACCTTTCCGTTCATTGCTGGATGGGGATCACTTGCACCAAGTAAATAAAATTGTTCGCTATTTTCAAATGTAAATTTTATTTGAATATTCTTTCATTTGTTTTGTTCTGCAGAGGGTGCTACTAGCGCGGTTCTTATGCAGGCGCAGGTACCAGTAGTTACTAATGCGGCTTGTAAAGATGCATATTCCCGAAGAAATGCCTCTGTCATCGATGATCGAGTATTGTGTGCTGGATATGCTCGTGGTGGAAAGGATGCGTGCCAGGTAAAGTCACAAAATTCATAAAACCTTCATATTCGCAAACCTCCTCGCAGCCATTAATTTCCATTTTAGCGAATGCAAACTTTGTCATGCGACATTTAAAAATTCGATAACATCACTTCATAAAAAAATAATTCGGTTAGAACGTTTAATTCTTCTTAATTTTGTAGGGTGACAGCGGAGGACCTTTGATGTTGTCGCAACTCGAGCATTACTTCCAAATTGGTGTGGTTTCGTACGGTCATGAATGCGCTCTGCCTGGATATCCTGGTGTTTATACTAGAGTCACCAATTTCCTGGATTTCATTATCTCTGCGATGCAGTAATCGAAAAGTATTCAAGAAGCTTAAGGTTCCACCCACTCTGGATAACAATCTTGGACTGTAAATAATCTCTGTAAATGCTGTTAGTTCCACCTCCATTAGAGTCTTTTGTTAAACGAACGATTTTGCACTGAAAGTGCTTCTGAAACACGAACGACTTTGTTAAATAATCTTGATTAATCTTAATTAATCGCTCTGCATCTTCTGCGACGAACATATTTTGTGCAATTACGCAGTCTGGTTCCATTGAATCGAATTTATGATTTACATTTTAGAACACTGGAAGAAAGTTATCGAACCTTGTTTTTTGTGCATTGAAATATTGAGGAAAAGTTGAATAAAGAAGATCTTTCCTCGACCATGATGTAACGCCACGAAAATGCCGCCTGAATGTCGATTTATGAATACTAATTTGATGTTCGAACAAAACTTGTCTTGCTCAAAATAATTTCCATTTTGCATGTGTCTTTGGTGACACACACAAATGTTTGTCTCAAACATGACACAGCTTCCATCCAGAATCCAATATACAGGGTGTTACCTGTAACGCTACTCACGATTTTTCTCCCACTTGCAACCACCTTACGAAAAAATGTTTAGGACAATATTAACAGGGTATGAAGTGCACAATAGATATTAGTAAAGCAAATTTTCAAAACAGTTTGTTCTCTTGGCAAAGTCAAGGTCACCTTGGGTTTTTTAAATAGGAACATACATTTTTTTTT